TTCACGCTCTCACTCCATTCCCAGATTTTCACACTAAAGAATGACGGACATTAAAACTCCATTCCACTTATTTATATAAATAAAATACCATGCTGATATAAATCCAGTCCGTGTTTTTTAACCGTGGTGCTAACAGACAGGGAGATGCCAGGTTCAGATCCAGTCCGTATTTTTGCACCAGCCCAGATATTCACTGCGCTGAAAGAACTGCACCAGATATTTAAAACGTTTTCTGAGGAGTTTTACAGGGTTTCCACGCATCACTAAAAGTCATTAATTTTCATTTTTTAAATTGAGGCCTTAATTTGCATTAAAATTCATTAAATATGATTGTCATGGCATTTTAAATGCGTTATTTAAAAAAAAAAGTTTGTTAAAACAACTTTTTCAGATATATGGCGATATATTTGCGTGGAACTGCTTCCGGTTGATCGTAAAGCCGTGTGTTCGGAAAAGAAGCTCGAGGCGGAAAAAAGGCCGGAAAATGGGAAAATGCAAATTTTAACAAAAGTGGCTGAAAAGGGGGGGGGGGTCGAGGCGTCTTCGGGCCCTGGGGGGCCGGGTCCAGTGGATTGTTTTTTTTTACTTTTACGGGAAAAAAATGTTTTAACATTATCTCCCTTTTATCTCCTCTTTCTTTCATCTTTTCTCCTTTTTTCAGTTTTTCCTTTCCTGTTCTACTTCCATTGCAGTGTCCATATAATCTGATTAACTCCCTGCATGATTATAATAAAGTTATTTATATGCATTAATCAAGCGGAACACTATGGCGATAGCCGTACTGCTCCACTGGTGAAAGTAAAATCTGTTGGGCTCTTTTTTGCATCAAGACAATTATTCTTATTGCCAGAAAAAAAAAAAGAAATATTTAAACCTAACCTCTTTTTTTTAACCCTTTTTGAATGTTCATCTTTGATCATTCAGAAGAGCAACTGCCTGCCTGATGAGAACAACATGGCCGCCCTGCAGGAAGAGGTGAAGCAGATGAAGCTGAGGGAGCTGGAGACGCTGCGCTCCTTCAGAGAGATGCAGGACACCGTCACTGATCTCAACCAGCGTTGGCAGGTACCTACGTGTCTTTGCATGACCCCCCCTCTGTGTCCTGCATGTCCGTCTGCTCCTTTCCTGTTCAAACGCTTCTCTCTCTGTTCCTGGAGCATCACATGTCGCGTGGCAGCAGCACGGGCGGCGGCCACTGGAAGGAATCCCCGAAGAAGAACGCCATGAACGAACTGCAGGACAAGCTGATGACGGTCAGACTGAGGGAGGCTCAGGCCCAGGCTGAGCTCCGGGAGGTCAGGCTCAAAGGCCTGCAGCTGGAGAGCCAGGTCAGGTCCTATGCTGCCCTGCAGCAGCGAATAAAACGCCGACTGCTCGGCTGACGCCGCGCCGCACTTTATATTTTCTATTCAGTTTATTTCTATAGCTCCAATTCACATCATGTCATCTCAGGTCACTTTATAGATCTAGATCAACCAGATCATCCAGTCAGATTGATTCAAAGTTTTCTA